GTGATGTCATACTGAAATAGGTAACTGTGTAAGCTTCAGTACATGGTACATAGACTGGCTAACTGGGTAAAACATGTAAGGTGTGCTGCTACATTAACAACATCTTATCTATATTTTTTGATATTGTAAATTTCCCTTAATTATAATTATATTATTATCAAATTTATTTATGCTCACATATTTACAAATTAACATTTATTTACCTTTAACACTAAGGATAACATCATCAACCAATAACGGTAATCTCTGTTCAATGAAAACCTTTACATTGCTTAAATAACGTTTTTGAATATCACTAACATCCATTTCTTTGTCATACATCATAGTGACAAACATGTAACCACCAATTATATTTAATTGAACTTTTAAAAGCACCAGAAGTAATATATTCGAAAGAACAGAAGCAATCATTTGAGCCATACTTAAAATTTTTATATTTTCCCAAATTTCAATTTTGTTAGCTGGATTTAATTTCAGAATTTCTAGAAACTGATCTAGATTAGTTTTAGATGTTATGACTTCTTGTACATCAGGCAAAAAAGAAAGAAATGTTGCTGTGCATGTCCTTTGATTGGATTCAAACAAATATTGTTTTTTTGCTTCTTGTTCCATTTCCTTCACTTTTAGCTCAGCCCATTCATTGAATTTCCACGATACAAGCTTGGTAATGGCATATGTGCTTCCAACAAATATACCAGTAAATATAATTTTTTTCCTATGTCTTTTATAAAAATCATATATTGAAGAAAACATTCTTATTTATCTAAAATTTTAAAATATTTATTAGAGACAGCATGTAGCATATAAATATTAATAAGGAAAATAAAATGTTTTTCTTTTACACAAAGCGCGATACAGCGTATTACAAAAAATGACAAATAACATTTTTATTGAACTATTAACGTTAATAGTTATATACTACTATACATTAATAGTTATATAGCACTAAAATTACGTTAATAGTTGTATACCACTTTACAAGTACCTATTACAACTATTACCACTAGTTGTAATAGGTACTCATTAATTTTAATCAATAAAAGTACCAATAAGAATACCTATTATAAATTGCATACAATAATTATAATTATTGTATGGTTAATATTACCCTAATACATTAACACAATAATTAAAATACATTGTAATAGGTTAATTTATTTAAATATATTAGTAACTAATACATTTTACTAATTTTGTTACTAATTTAGTACAATATTATAACCAACAATGTTATTTAAAAACAACTTATGAATTTTTAGTTGATTTTAATAATATCATGATATAATTTTTATTTTGTTTAAGACTTTTCTATAATCCGAAAAAATTTAAAATCATATATTTCTAAAAGTTAAGGGAAGAAATTATTTCCAAAAAACAAATTAAAAACCAATTTAAAAAGTTTTAGAAACGTGCAAAAACTAAATAAACATTTACTATTTTTTATTACTTTCAATTGTTTAAAAGTATGAATAGAAATTATATCGCGCTCAATACATAAATTTGAAATAAATTGATTAAATAAAAATTTATTTCAGTTAAAAAAAAAAATTTAATTAAAATATAATTAACGAATCGAATATAATTTTTAAAAAGCAGGGCGCCGTCAATTAATTGTTACGCTAATGAAGTTAGGTCCTTTTTTTTTTGTAATTTTGTTGACATTTACATATCTACAAGGGTATTACTAAAAAACATTTTGTATTTTTGTGTTGTGGGCGCAAATGTTGAACTTTTATAACCTAATTAAAAAATGATTATTAGAACTGGTTCTAAAACGAAGTTCCTACACGAAGACATCCGATGGTGTCTTTTTTAACAATGGGGCTGTCCATAAATTACGTCAACAAAATAGGGGGGATGGAGTCTAAATATTTTTGATATTTGTTGACAGGGGTAAAGGGGAAGATCAAGACAAGTTGACGTCAACAATTTTACTTTTTTTAATAAATGAGGAGTGGACTTGCAAAACCTGATAATTTACTTTTTTTTTCATTCTGAGATAATGGCAAAAAATGTTTTCCAGTAAATCGAATAGCTAAAAATTACAAAATTAAATGCTAAACAATAGATGTCATTAAAATGTTTACGACAAAAATTTGAAAATTGTGCTCTTTTAATCTTATTTTTATTACAAAATGAAAAAATGTTTTACCTGGTTTTGCATACCAATGATTTTTTTATCTGGTTTTGATCGGAAATTTATTTCTAACTGGTTTTCAAAAAAGCTTTATGAAGTCAACTTGACTAGTGACGATTGTAATATTCAATATAATTGTGTAAAACGCCCCTCTGCCTTAGAAAATATGTAATTTTAATGCTTTATATGTTTATAGGATTGATGAAGTTTAAAACTCAATTGTAACTTGAAGAATGTAATTTCAAGAAAAATTGTAAATTGAAGAAAAACTCAATTGTAACTGTTTAAATAAGGCTTTTGTGATTTTAGTGAATTTTGTTTGTATATGATTTTTTTCTTAAATAATTTCCTCAATTTTTTTAAAAAATTTTTGAAACAGAAGGTTAGATAAAATTTTTGTCTTATTTTGCATTGACAATAATTTTTTCATCTGGTTTTGCACGGACAGAATAATTTAAGGCAGGTAAAATGTTATTAAAATAGTGGCTTTTAAATATAATTTTTATTTGTAAAGATGTAGGAATATTAGTACTACAAAAAATATTGTTAAAATTTTTTTTTTAAAAAAAAGTGAATTATCTGGTTTTGCAAATCAACTCCTCAAACTTAGTTACTTAAAAAAAATTAGGCATCGTTTGTAGTCCTGTGTAACATATTCTTTAAACCTTTGGTATTTTAATAAAGCTATTTTTATTCCTACTTTTTAAAAATCATGTGGCGCTTTAAAAAGACCCAACACGTACAGAACTAAATAAGCAAACACAAGATGTTCACTCGTAACACTATAATTTTTTTGAAGTTGTCGTTGGTTAGTTTAAGTTTTATGTAAGTACATGGTATACACTATATTATTTAAACGCTTACACCACGGGTCGGCAACCTGCGGTTGAGGCTGCTCTTTAGCTTCATGTTCAATTTTTTTTTTTTTTTTCAATTTTTTTATTTAGGTGCCCTAAGTAGTCCTTACGGTCTTATCATAGAGTACCGCCGATGAGCATTTAATAGGAAGTTCACGCCTCTATCCTAAACGATGTCGCAAATCTTACCCAGAAGTGGGGTTTGAACCACAAATTCTTCGTGTCTACCATTGCGCCACAGCTACCACTTCACAACGGCTGCTATATTAATATAATATTGAAATAAAAATTTGGTAGATGATTAGAAAAAAAGATTTGAAATGAAGATATTAGTAACTCTTTAAAAATACTGCTTTTAAATTGCTACCAACATCTTTATATCAATATTAATATTAGCTATTATTAATAATAGCTAAAAAGAAAGCATCTTGACATCAAAAGAACCATAATAAATATTAATTGTATAAATGTTTTAATAATATAATGTACTATCATAAATCTTTTTTGTTTGCACAGCAGACTAAAACTTTGTAAATTGCAACTTTTGGCTCAATACGTTACTTCTATCGACCCTTGGTTTATACAATTTGTTAAATGCATTTTTCGTTATACTAAACTCTATTAGAAATAACTGGCTTTTACTGTGAAATTGAATCAGGTCTAAAGTTAATGTGAGGAGAATTTGCACATTGAAGTGTTACATTAATTTGAAATATGTTCATAATTTAAACGTGTAAGGAGTATATATTTTTGTGAACCCTTTTCTTTATTTTTTGTTCGAAGTAAGTTTTTGTAGTTAAAAGCTGGAAATATGTTCTTAAGTTGAAAGTTTATTAACTTTTTTTTTCCTATACTTTTTACTTTTATTCACATTTTGTTCAGAGCAAGAAATGGAGCAAGTAATGGAGCAAGCAAGAACTGATAATTTTTCATTTTTCTTTTTAGCTTTTCTATTTAAAAAATATAAAATGTTTTTTTGTTCAAACGTGGTGACAATTTTGTCACATACTTCATATATTGTTGTGGCAAAACATAAATTAAAAGTTTATAGCGCAAAACCCTAGTTATTGAAACTATAATTTGAATTATATATCAATTAAAAATATTTCAATTAGAGCAAACTCTTCGGTTTCTTGTTAAAAACGTATCAGAAACGAAACTCTTGGATAGACGAGGTAAGTTATGTTCTTGTTTTAGCTTATATACTAAATTCTTTAGTAGGAGCGGAGGAGGGCAACAAGTTTGTGTTCATCCCTAGAAGCTATCTACTTAGGTAAAAAACCCATTGTTGGATTAAAAAAACTTGATAATGTTCAATCGCAGAATTTTCTTTGTTTTTTATCTTGATTCTTTTTGGTCGAGATTGTTATAAATCTTATAGCATATCTGATAATACTGTGACAAAACCTGAAAACTGCTGCATTAATTAAATGCAAATATTCAAAAACAAAAACAATTTTTTTTTTAAAAAAAAAATCTTTTCTTTCCAAAAACTTTTCGTTTGTAAATAAATTATTAAAAATTGATAACTTTATAATTTTCTGAGTAACAATTAATAACAATAAAATATTCAAATAAAATCTCTTTAAAAAAATAAATACAGAAAATAAATATAACTTAAATATAGCTAAAATTATATCTATATAAGTATTTTTCTAGTATAATCAACATTAATTCTAAACGATTTAACAACACTTTGAAAAGATTATCACTGAAAATTGATGTTGTACTTCTGTTCAAGCTCATATTGAAACTCTTTCTTGAGGAGACCCAAACATCTAATAAAACAGAGAAATTAAGAGTTCAATTTTAAAAAGATTTGAAGCATGTAAAGTAATTTTTTTATTTAAATATTTAAATCACAACGCCATCATCACTAAAAGTGATTGATATAAGTAATGATGATGAGACAAACGTCTCATTTAAATTTTTTCTTCTTTCCATTATTATACACAAGAAAATTGTAATTTTTATAAATGTTTAAATTGCAAATGATATTCAGTTATAAGACAATTTATGTTCAGTTCAAAGTTATATAAGTTAAAATTTATATTTTAAATTAGTAATCCCCAACCTCCGGTATAAGCTACTTGAACGATATTTAGTAATATCAACTGATGGTGCATGTGGCATATGTATGATAAAGCCGTTTGCAGCTACAACAAATTTAAACCTAAAAAAATATTAAAGTTTGTTTTATTATTAATAATAAAAACAGTAATAAACATTATTAACTAAATATAATAGTTAGCAATTCACAAAAGAGCGATTTAAAAACAAACCGCAATGCATGAAGCTCCATAATATGAGAAACTTTATTCCAGCCAAAACCAACAAAGCGCATATCATATAAAGGTATACTACTCTTCTTAACTAGAATGTATGGTTCAAAATCTACTTCCCAACGAACCTTTAAAAAAAGTACGATAAAATTCAATATCAGATAGATAAATTGAATTTTTATTGTCTTTTGATGAAAAATGTTTCTTTTTGGTGTATTTTGAAGATTTGCAAGTTGTTACAAGTTTTTAAAGATTTGCAAGTTGTTAAATAACCTAGATTGTAAAATTGATAAAGCTAAATTTATTTTACTTTTATCTATATTTGTATATTTAATTTTTATCTCTTAATAGTGTATGTTATTTTTAGTTTTTTTTAATTTAGAGTCATTTTTTTTTTTATTCATTATAATTTTATCATAATATGAAATGCAGAGTATAAAATTACATGAAATATGTTTCAATATATTCTTTCATGAGATTCAACAGTATTGAATCCCGTGTAAAAAAAAAAGTTGTAACTGTAGATTTAAGTTGACTGTAAAGATACTTGCTAATAACAGAATTAAATTCAAAAACAATGTATTGAATACATAGTTTTTGAATTAATTTAATTTATAAGTGCATACTTTCTTTTATTTACGTTTAAATGAAATTGTTGGGATTTTTTTTTCAAATAATTTGATACTTTAATAACAAGTCAACACTATAAATATATATGTGCTCTTTAGTGCTTTTCAGGCTATTATAATAAAAAAATGATTCGTCTTCTTTTTTTAATAAAATTTTATTTTAACATCTTATGATATAATAACATTATAAATTACAATAAACTATAATAAACTGTTGATTTTTTTTATGCATCATTTTATAATATATCACATCAACCCCTAAAATCAAATCTAGATCAATGTGGACCATTTTAAAACATGACAACAGCTAATTAATAAAAAAATACTTTAAACAACTTTAAGTAACTTTATTGTTCTCACTTATTTAGACGACCTCTAAGTGTTAATTATTATTGACATCACGTAATGACTTTTTTTAATTGTATTCTATCATAAAATAAAAATAAAGGTAAACAATTTGCCTCACTAACTCAGATACTTTTTAAATATACAAAATTGGTCAGTTTCAAGTGAGCTGCGCTTTATAAATTTATTTAAAATAATAACAAATCATTAAATAATAAATCTCAATACAACATGGGAAAAAATAGGATAACATAAAAAAAAAAAAAAATAAAGTAAAACTTACCTCATAGTCAGTTGAACTTGTTTTCCAGCGTTGAAAATCAGTAGCCGCATGACCTTGTTGCCAAACTTCTCCCCTAATTTGGTTTGCACAATATTTTTTAGATAACATTAGGTAGATAAGTCATTTTAATAGTTGAGCTACAGTTATTAAAATTAAATCAATAACCTAATGACTACACTAACACTCACTCAGATTGTTGTTAATCAAATTGTTGAAAATTTTAAAAGCATCAAATAATTGTTTAAAAAGTTTAAAATTTTAAAAAATTTATAAATTTAAAAGAATTTTATAATTTAAAATATTTTTTAAGAAATAAGTAATTTAAATTTAAATTAAAAAGTATTAAAAGTAGAAAGAAATAAAAAAGAATCAACCTAAAAGTATCAACTTTCTGTGAACCCCAATACTCAATAAGCTGTTTTTTACTTTGAGGATAATCAAGTTTATATTGATATGTTTCAAATGCAGGAACAACAACAGCCTAAATTAAACATCTAATTAGTTTTTTCATTCAACTACAGCCTAAATTAAACAACTTATTAGTTTTTTCATTCAACTAAATTAAACAGCTCATTTAGTTTTTCAAAAACATAAATAATATATTAAAAAAATACCAACCTTTTTCTCCATATTTGTAATGTTTGCAATTTCTCTAAATTGAAAATACTATTTAACAAAAGTTTTATGAAAAGTGAAAAAATATTTAATTCTAAAACAGAAACCAACCTTAAGTAGTTATATAATCCTATCATGGGTAAGAAATCAATATCACTAAGAAAAACATAAGTTGTTTGTACATGTTCAAGTGCAACATTTCGCAAGTAGTTCACAGGATATAAATCCTAAAATTTACAGAACATAAGTCATAAAGTAGTTTACAAGATACAAGTTTTTCAAGTAAGTCAAAAGACATAATCATAAGTTTTTAACAAAAAACTTTTCTGATTACGTCTTTTGGCTTTAAAAATCGCTGGTACAAACATAAAAACTTGTTTCAATCTGAAAGTAAACCTAATGCCACAGAACTTTCTAAATATATCTGGTAAATAGAGTTTCAAATCCTATTCTTACATAGAAGATTATTGATAGAGCGGAACCTTTTAAACCTGGAAGAAAGTCATGTAAACTTTGTATAACGGAAAAATATCATATCATTACCTCATCTTTAAAACTATTAAATAAACGAAATGAATTAATATTGAAATGTCGCCACGAAAAAAAATTTGTTATCTGCAACTTTAACGTTATCTGTAATTATTTATCATGTAATGCGTTTTTGTATATAACTTTTGTTGTTGTTATGGTTGTTAGTAATGTCTGATGATCCCATAAAGCGTGAAACTCTGAGTAATGTTACAAATTTAATTTTACTTTACTATTATTCTAATATATATATATATATATATATATATATATATATATATATATATATATATATATATATATATATATATATATATATATATATATATATATATATATAAATCATACTCCATCTTTATAAACGATGTGCAGTCCTATATTCTTTCTTTTTCTCAAAAAACTAGAAACAGAAGAATAACGTGTGAACTGCTGAGCTTCTGCATCAGATGCATATAATGAAATCGACATTGGACCTAAAAATTATATGGAAAAAAAAGGTTTTAACAAAACTTTATTGTTTTTTTTTGTAATAACTTGAGTCTTTGATAATTTTATTTAAATGAAATAGGCTTTAAGTTATATAAATAAATAACCTTCCCAATGTTGCGATAACAATTCTAAAATCTGTATTCTATCCATAGATAAGTGAGTCATCAAAGTAACATCTCCAACTTCCTAAATGATAATAAAACAACAAAAACACTCATTAACCAATAAAACTATTTATAAACTTTACTAACTGTAAATTTGTGTATTATTGGAACAGATTTCTATAGATAAAAGACTTATTTTATGACATATTAAAGTAAAATATAATACATTTTCAGGATTTCTAGCCTGCAATTAGAAAAATTACATTTTCCTTTTCAGTAAAATTACATGCTTTTGAATGCTGTTTTTTAAGGTTGCATGCTTTTTTATGCTCATTTTAAATATTTTTTTTCTTTTATCCTTATATGGCAATAGACTTTATTATTTTTGCATATGGATGGATTTTTTAAAAGGTAACTTCTAACTGATGATTATTGAATCTATTTTAACTTGTGTGAAAAAGTTTTATCAACATTTATTAACAAACCAATATAATACAATTTTGTTTAATAAATTCAATTAGTCATAATGAAACATGTCTAGCATAAACATAATGAAAAATGTCGAGCATAGTCTAGCATTATCAAAAATTAATATCTAACTCATCACTCCGTCTACTTGATTAAGTTAATCTTTTAATAAAAAAATTAATGCTAACTTCAAACCATTACAATATTTACATAAAAATAAAGCAACTTATTTTTTAAAACATTTTAAATGGCCTAGTTTAATCAAGTCTTCACTAAAGTGAGAACTACATGAGATGAGTTGTGTGATAAATCTGAGGGGTGTAGAAAACATGAAAATGTGAATTTGTGCTGAAAATGTGAATTTGTGCTGAAAATGTGAATTTGTGCTGAAAATGTGAATTTGTGCTGAAAATGTGAATTTGTGCTGAAAATGTGAATTTGTGCTGAAAATGTGAATTTGTGCTGAAAATGTGAACTTGTGCTGAAAATGTGAATTTGTGCTGAAAATGTGATTCAATTTTTAAACTAGTGGCTGAAAATAAAAAAATGGATTTTCCTCATTTTAGAATAATTGTTTGTTTTTTTTAATAAAACATGCTTTTACAAACTTAAAAAAATAAAGAATAGCATAATTTGCATGTTTTACATGATGTGTGAGAACCCTAATTTAATATTTTTTCTATAATACTTTAGAGAAGCCATTAAAAAGTGTAGCTAGATACTAGTATCGAAAGTCTAATAAAATTTCTTAAAAATAAGAAAAAAATGGTATTGAGAAAAGTTGAATTTATTGATGTGTACAAATCAAATAAATCATTTTATTGAAAATATTAAATGCTTTTTTTTAATAACAAAGTTTATAAAAACTTTTCCAAATAATTTGGAAATGAAGAGAAATTTTATGCCTATAAAACTAAAAAACTTTTAACATGTTTGTAAGAATGTTTACAAATTAAATTAATATACATTTTATTACTTTAATAACAATTTTAAATTTATTTTTAATAAAAAAGATTATACCCTAATAATTTATTCTTTAGACTTTTATACCAGTACTCAACTCAGTTCTAGTGCCCGGCATCATCTAAAGCTCTTATGCTAATTTATTCATATTCAACAGCTATTATGCTAATTTATTCATTCTCAACAGTTATTATGCTTATTTGTTCATCCTCAACAGTTCTTTTAATATTAATATTTTGCAATAGATATAAATAAACTAAAACTTAAAAAAAAAAAATCAAACAAGATAAACATACAGGTTTATAATCATAGTCCATATAATACAAATGTACACGCCTTGTTGTTGACTGCTCTATTTTAATATCATAACATTGATCATTATCTGATAAATTTTTTTCTTTGCTTGTTTCTGTTGCATTTTCTCCAGGAATAAGGCAGGAAAAAATACTTTTTCTAAAAAAATTTAATTTAGCAGCAGTCTTTTGACAGTTTGTGTCAATATTAATAATGCCATTTTAATAATGCCATACATTTAATGTATATGTTTACCAAATTAAAGATTAAATTAAATTTGGTAAACTAAATCTTATTTGTTACCTTAGCAAATTTCCATTGTATTCAAGAAAAGTAAGATACATGTTTCTAAAATACTCCACATGTTTTAGTTTGTTGCCAGTGTGTTTGTTTGGGGAATTCCAATGAATGGCCTTTAGTTCAATTAGCTTATTATAGCAATACTCACTCTCTGTATTATCACTTAATTGGATATTCCATTGACATGGAAGTTTGTAAACAATTTGAGGATTGTCCTTTAAAGCTGCATTAATAACATCTTGGTCAGCAAGAACAGTTGAAAGCAAATTCAAAAGTTGTTTTTCTGCGGTCAGTCTCCAAAGGTGAGCCCATTGAAACTTTCGTAGTTTTTGTAAATCAAACAACATTACACCAGTATTAAAACCTCGGCCCTGAAATTTTTTTTTATAAAAGATAGACAAAATAGCCAATTTAAAATAAAGTATTACAAAATATATACATAAAATTTAAAAATAAAAATAGAACAAATATCAAGATCGTGAAAAATTCCTTAGACAAGTATTTTCTTTGGGTTTTCACACTATCAATTTATTTATTAACTTATTTATTAACAACTTTACTTATTTGACAAAAAATTTGACAAAGAGCTATAAAAGTTTTTACTGCTTTTAAAAAATATTTTATGTTTTCTTATTGTTATAGAATGCAGGTATTTTAAGAATTATCACAACAATTTAAAAATTCCGCAATAAAAGTGAATACAGGGGTGTGCAGGTTATCGCAGAAAAAAATGAAAACAAAAATTTTGCGGCAAAAAATATGATATACAGTGAAAAACATTTTTGGCAAGAAAATACAACACAGTTCAACAAGTTAATCCTTAAAAAATGCAGTTTTTCACTAATTTAGTTGTAAAAAATGGCACGATTTGACAGCACGCAAAATGAAAATGCAAGAAAACTTGTTTTTGATCTATGGAAACGTGGTGTGAAAAAAGTTGAAATTTGCAAAGCCGTGAAGGGACAGCTTCATAATTCCAACATCTACAGACTCTTAAAAGACTTAGAAACTGGAAAAAATTACAAAAGAAAAAAAAACAGGCCCAAATCGTTATGTGAGAACTAAAGAACTTTGAAATTCGATCGACTGCAAAGTACGACGAAACCCAAACAGGTCAATTTCATCCTTAGCTAGAGAAGCAGGTGTGTCTCGAAGGACTATGCAACGTGTTGTCCACGATGATCTAGGTATGAAGAGCCTTGTCAATCAAAAAGACAACTTCTGAGTGAGGCAACTAGAGCCAAAAGACGCAAAAGATCAAAAGAGTTACTAAACTGGTTCAAAGACCACAAAGATGTCCCTATCGTTTACAGTGATGAAAAAATTTTCACAGTTGAACCAGAACTCAACAAATACAATGACAGAGTTCTTGGTAAGTCCAGAAGAACAGTTCCTTTGGAACTGAGGACTATTCCAAAGAGACAGCACCCTGTGGGCGTCATGGTTTGGGCAGGTGTGTGCTCTGATGGGTCAAAAACTCCCCTTGTTTTTGTTCCTGAAGGTGTAAAAGTCAACCAGGTGACCTATGTCGACTTCATCAAAGCTAACCTCATTCCTTGGGCCAAAAAGAAGTTTGGGGACGATCCATGGGCCTTTATGCAGGATAGTGCACCAGCACACAGTGCAAAGAAAACTGTCAGCTTCTTGAAAGAAAATGTTCCGCACCTTTGGACCCCAGATATGTGGCCCCCTTCAAGCCCAGACATTAATCCTATGGATTTTGCTATATGGAGTGTCATGGAGACCAAGAAGGCAGCCAAAACATGTCCAAATTTGGCAGCCCTCCGAAACGAATTGAAGAAGATCTGGAAGAATCTTCGTCCGGACATGGTGCAACGATGCTGTGAGTCAGTTCCAGAGCGTTTGAAAAGTGTCATTGATGCCAAAGGAGGCTACTTTGAAATTCATTAGTGTTTTTGAGTAAAAGTATATGTGATTTGGTATTGTGAAAAGTTTTACTTTGAAAATAAAAGCCATTTTTGAGATATAAATATTTTTATTTTTCTGCGATAACCTGCGCACCCCTGTAATATTTAAATATTAAAATGTAAAATATATAACTGATTAATAACTTATAAAATAAAAATCATATACTCATAATACTATAAGTTATAATAATATAATAAGTTATAATATTAACTCATAAGTTATATACTCATAATAACTCATAAGTTATATACTCATAATAACTCATAAGTTATATACTCATAACTCATAAAATAAAAATTATTATGCAATAATTTAGAGTGTAATAATTTTATTTTTTATCAGATAAAAAGTTTAATATTTTATCCATATAATTTAGATTTTTTAATTTAATTCAAATTTAAATTATATATTTATTAAATAGTCTAATCTAATTAAAAACATTTAAATTGGTGCTCTTTTTTATTATTATTATTTTTTTTGCAACAATTATGCTTTTTAAAAAGCATTGCAGCTTATTATGCAATTTTTTTTTTTTTTTTTTTTTTAATATAAAAATGACTTTGTGTTTTTCATTTTAGTTACATTGATAATTACACTTTTGAGAGAAAAATTATACTTTTGCGAAAGCTGTAAATTGCTCCCATAAACCCTTTTAGGGAAGTGTTTTAGGCCTGTATATATATATGAATATGCTTTTAGCTGGTAAAATATGCCATATAATGATGAATGTGTGAATGTGGTACCCCAGTACCAAAGGTTTCATCCTAAGTTCTGTGTCATTTCTCTAAAGTGTCTCTTTGTGTTAATGACATAACTATATACTCGATGAATGGATATATATGCCTTGAATGAATGTTATTGATATGGAACTAATTATGTTTTACATTGTTGGTCTGGTAGACCAACAATGTTGGTCTACCAGATTTGGGATGATCTTGTAAAACCATTGAAACCAATCACTTTGATATTGCCTCAGACACTTAACCCTGAATTATTTGACAGCATATATTTTGTGATGCTTTGGCTACCAAGTGGCCTTACTGAAACTCATAAATCAGGCAATTCAGTACATAGTTTTTATCCTTGTTACTATTTTGGAATACAAAGAAGTAATGAAGTTGACTGTTGCTCATAACAACTTTCAACTTCTAAAAGACTTTTGACCTAATGGAAAGAAAAACATACCAGTTTTGCAAAATTACTTTATACAAGTAAAAAAAGTTTCAAAAATTTCTTTGACAACTCAACAAACCAAGTTTTCTTTGATAGAATAAGAGCATTTAAAAATAGCAACAAGAGTTGAAAAGAACAGGAGTTGAAAAATACCAACAGGAGTTGAAAAGAACAAGACAACAACAAGAATACTTAAGAAAGATAAGAAAAACTTCTATTCATAATAGTGATTGATGTGAAAAGAATCAAGAAATACATCTGTATATACAAATACAAAATATATAAACAAATACATAACGCACAGTGATTCTAAATATTTATGAGCAAAAATATTTTAGTCTTACTCACACTGGTTGCATTTTAAAGTCAACTTTAAAAAAAAGATTAATGCCCATGGTGCCATACTTGTGTCACTTTAAAATATTTCCATAAATTAAATAAGTATTATGAAAGAGTAAAAGCATTTTTTTACAACTGGGATCCCTTGAACTTTGTTTTTTTTTTGCCTTCACTACAGGAACTTCTTCATGACCCAAACTATTGACAAAAACAAAACAAAAAACAATTTTAAAACAAGATTTTTCTTGGTTTGTTGGACTCTACTAGTTGCAAATAAAATTCTAACTAGTGATGTGCTGGGTACCTGGTTTGGTCCTGAGATTTTTTCCAACCTGGATACCTGGCACATCTATATATTCCAAGTACCCAAAAAACCGCTGGAATAATCCAAGCCAGATGAAATACACAATCTGAAACGCAACAAACAAGGTTTTAAAACAATCAACTTAAACAACCGACTTCAGCAAATGGAATGTTATTTATTATTTTCACATATGATCGTGTTTTTACATTTGGTAGCTTTTGAAATCCTCATGGAATACATAAAACTGATTAACAAATCAGAAAAAAATTTAATAATAATACAATTACATTTTTTAGAGTCTAATTTTAAAAATTTATAACAAAACCAATGAGATTATCTTTTTTTTTTTAAATAGAATAAGTAACTATATTTTGTACTACTAAATTATTTTTAATATTTTTTCTCAACAAGAGAAAAACAGTAAAGTAGAAATTGTAAAACTTTAATATTCTACATAAAGAAAAATAATAATAAAAAACTAACTATAGCAGGCCATATTTTATATTTCTTCCAAAGTTTTCCAGTATACCACTGGCTCTGATTTTCGACCAAACCAATTGCCTAAATATCCATAAACAAAAATAATATCAATAAATAAAAATAATATCCATAAATAAAAATAATATCTGTAAATAAAAATATCTATAATAATTAATCAAAGCTTTATGTAATACAAATTACAAAAAAAAAAAAAAAAAACATTATAAATGATAAGTAATAAATAATAAAAAATTAAAACCTGATCTTCTGTAAAATTATTAAAGAAAGCCCATAATTCAGCTAAATCTGTCAAGAAAAATACATCTGTATCAAGTACAATGACCTAAATAAAAATACATCTGTATCAAGTACAATGATAATAATCCAAGTTAATACTAACATCAATTATATATTTTAAGATTAAATTACTTAGATTTAGTATTTTATGGGTAATAACTTATTAATATTAAGATAATAACTTTATAACTTTATACAAAATTTATATGGCAATAATTTTAAAAGAACTTATAAAAACATTTTTTGAAAAGAAAAAAGGATCTACCTTGCTTAAGAATTCTGGGAGAGCCCTAGTTAAAGTCAACTTCATAAGTCCATAAACGCCAGAGTAATGAGTATTTGGAATCCAATCAACATCTGCCTAAAAATGCATAAATAAACATTAATACACAACAACATAAAAAATATGCAACATAAAAAAATAACACATAACTACATAAAAACACCTACCATGCAACTAAATAAATTTAAAACTAAGACTTACTGGTTAAATAAAAAATCAAACATTTTACATTAGCACAAAAAAAATTAAAATAAAAGAAGACTAAATTTACTTTCAGTTTTTCTGCGTCATAGAAACTTACTCCAACTAAACAAAGAAAAAATTCAAAAATTATACAGCCATTTAACAAGTGACTAGACTATTTTCTATTTTAACTGATATCAAAAAAAAAAAAAGGTTTGCGCTTTAGGTTTTTTTTTAAATTAAACTTCCTCAAAGCTTCTGAGGCCACTGCATAGAGAAACAGTTTGAGCTTGGTACTTCTAGAGAGAGAGAGAGAGAGAGAGAGAGAGAGAGAGAGAGAGAGAGAGAGAGAGAGAGAGTAGATGAGGGAGGAGGAGATAAGTGGTGGAGAGAGGCATAGGTGGATTTGAACCTCAAATCTCTTAATAGTGAGCCAAGTGTTCTACCACAAGTCTTCTACTACAAGTTATAAGTTTTAAGAAAAGAAGTTATAAGCTTTAAGAGAAGAAGTTATAAGCTTTAAGAGAAGAAGTTATAAGCTTTAAGAGAAGAAGTTATAAGTTTTAAGAAAAGAAGTTATAAGCTTTAAGAGAAGAAGTTATAAGTTTTAAGAAAAGTAGTTATAAGTTTTAAGAAAAGAAGTTATAAGCTTTAAGAGAAGAAGTCATAAGCTTTAAGAAAAGAAGTTATAAGCTTTAAGAGAAGAAGTTATAAGCTTTAAGAGAAGAAGTTATAAGCTTTAAGAGAAGAAGTTATAAGCTTTAAGAGAAGAAGTTATAAGCTTTAAGAGAAGAAGTTATAAGTTTTGAGAGAAGTATAAATGATTAACTTTGAGAGGAGTGTTTAAATTTTTAATGAAATCTGTTTTTCAAACAAATGTTTAAAAAAAAATTGATTTTGTTGAAAAGTAATTGTCCAATGGTCATCTCAAAAATACAATTAATTATTAATTGTTGCCTAATTATTGTTACTAGATATACATGAGATAATAATTTATGTGATAGCCCGTAAAATATGCAAGGTAGGAGATTGTTTGCTTTTTTAAGCTACGATTTTCATTGAATTTAAAATATTATTTTACTTTTTGGCTTAATTAAAAACTCTGCGAAGGACTTGCGATCTTGCGGTTTTGTTTATTAATTTAATTTAGCATTACATAACTTATGGATGATGCCAAACAAGTAATTTAAATCAATAAAAAGGAATCAAAATAAGGTTACCATTATGGTTTATTTAGAATAATTTTTTATCATTCAAAAACTATTACGCTTTTATCATTTAATTGTGTTTTGAAAATTTAATAGAAATAAATATACTTGTAAAACATTTTGCATTTTTACAAAAAATAGTTTAAAATAACAATTTTAAAAAATTACATAATAAAAATCAATACCTTGCTTTAACACCCATGTTTTAAACAAAACTTGTAAAACATGTCTTCCACTAATATCTGATATAAAGTGGAAGTGAAGTGGATGCCGTCGATAGAACAAAATAGATTTTATAAGTGTTACAACACGCTGAGTTTCTTTGTAACCAGCACATATGATTGCAATATGAATGACCTATATTTTCAAAAAAACACTATTATTACCATCATAATCATTAGTAGAACATCCAGCAACTTGAATAATACCCAGTGCTCGAAGTGAGGCGAAATGCGGCAGGATGCCATCCCATCACCTTTTTATAAAGAATAAACCATCCTGCCACCTTTTTATAAATCTCTATATATAACAATGATTAGACGAGATGGTATTTTTAATTTACCAAATACCATTCCATTACTTTTTTTATCTCTACTTCAAGCACTGATAATACCAAATTAGGAATAATGATAAAATATTAAATGAAAAGGTTTTTATTATGAACTGACCACTTTTATTGTGAATATAGTCTTTCCTTGGCCAAAACCAATTAATCTGTGTATGTATAGTTGTTTGCCCCTACCTTCCGTATAAGTCAAGATATGTACATTAATTTACAACCTCTATAATGTGTTTGTCAGTATATGCAAAATTCTTGTCACAAAACTATTTTAAGTAAATCACATAACTTTTTCCTCATATCACAAATACATCTTTCTTTTAGCATAATTTTGTATACTACTAATGTTGTTGATTCTATATCTCTATAGTGTTCATTTTAAAAGTTCACCAGCTCTCTTTCAAGAACTTTTAGGTGTTATTATTTAAATGAAAAATATAAGAATAACATCAAAATTTATTATAACAGAATTAAAATGATTTTCTTCATTTGCTATAACATTATAAACAAAACTATTAATTTACTCAAAGTTAGGAAGCGCTCAAATTCATTCAAGGCAAGAAAACATTTAAATCACTTATGAAATTCATTCAGGGCAAGAAAACATTTAAATCACTTATGAAATTCATTCAGGGCAAGAAAATATTTAAAACACTTACAAAATAACCTTGAAAAAAAAAAGTGCATTTATATTACTTTCATTTTTACATTATACTTTCTGCATTGATAATTAAACATTACAACCAAGATTAATTGACTGATAGAAGAATGTCTGTAAGAGCCAATCACAGGCCTTGTTTTAAAGCGTTACGCCTAGAGCGATTTACGTACGCCTTAAGCGCTTTTTACGTACGCGTAGAGCTGTTTTGGTTAAGCTACTTTTTATCATTTTTTAACTTTTAAATTAGCGGTAACATAAAAGAAGTAATTAATCTTCAAAAAAACCACATTAACTTTTAAATAACGATATGTAAAGGTATTTATTAAAAAAAAGAATTTACTTTAAAATTAATTGTTGTAACTTTTCATCGCGATATATCTTTCCTTTTTATAGCAATTAATTTGACGCTAAACTTTTTATCCAAATATTTAGCAACATGAAAAATTGTTTGTCAATCCTTAACTACAAATTTTTTGCAATGTTTTTAATAAAAAGTAGTAAAGTTTTTAGTAAAAAACTTTTAAAAAATCTATATTCCATATTTATTAATACAGAATATAAAAGTTTTTTGTAATATAGATTTTATATGAATTTTTTACTGAATTTATAATGAAAAACATTTGCAAAAAAATTTGTAATTAAGAATTGACATTTTTTAAAATAAAATCTCAAAAAATGTCTTAATATTTTTGTTATCATGATAACAAAAATATCAAGACATTTTTTCGAGATGTTAAAAAAAATGTCTTTGCGTTTCTTATTAGTTTAATAGTAGATAGCTTATAGTTAGTTTAATAGTATATAGCTTTTCTTATTAGTTTATTAGTATATAGTTTAAGTTATGCGGGGGGAGGGGGTCGGCACAGAAAAAAAAATTACCTGTTACTCGCAATATTTGAATGAAGACAATTTGTTAAAATTCTTCTGCGTGCAATTCAATAAGTTTTTTTTGTCATAAATCAAGTTATAATATAAGGTAAAGAAATCATGAGTAGACTACAACATCCGCTGATGACACTAATATTACGTTGAATATATTTATATAACGGAGGTTTTATTATGCACGCGCACATTACAGGTTCCGTTAAATAAATACTAAAGCACGTTTTAGTTTAATGACAGTCTTCATTTTTTACTAATGAATATGAATTTTTCTTTATAAAACAAAACAAACTAGTATATAAAAACCTTGTATATTTCTATTATATCTTAATTATTTAAAGTTCGAATATGGATTATATTTTGAAGGACAAAAGATTTACTTTAAAAACTTTTAAATCTTGGGACTTTGCCGATGCGATGATCACAGAAAAAGAGAAGACTTACGTTATTAAAATCAAATGTAAGTTATGTGATCTTCATCAAAATAAAATATTATTCAAAAACAATAGTGCCGTAAGGGCAACTGCCCAATGGTTTATAAATAATACAAGTCATGTTAAAATATTTTAACATGTTACTATATTTTAATTAAGTTGATATATAATTAAAAATAAAAATATAGTTCAATAAATAAATTAAATTTATTCTTAACAAAGATTACCTCATATTTATTCTTTTTTTTATTTTATTAAGTTAAATTGCTTACAAACGAAAAAAAAAAAAGAGTTTTGTAATAATACGTAGAATGAAAATACTTTTGAGTTTGTTTATAAGTTAAGGAACTTAATTTTTAATAAACAAATTTTTACAAACGTTTATTATAAACAGATACGATTCAAATTATTAAATATACTTAAATTATTTCAGTTGAGTATTTTTATAAGTTTGCACGAATAAAGTTTGGCGTACAAGTATTTGTTTTTTTGTTTTAAGAATAATTAATAAAAGAGTTTGCATAATTAAGACTTTTATATTTAATTTAATTTTTTTTTTAATTTCCTAAAATTAAACAAAAAAAAGATTAAATCGTTGAAAACAATTTTTCTCTATAGCTCTGTTTCTTTGTGATTTGTTTAAAAAGTTAAATATTTTTACAATAACATAAAAAGTTTATGAATTAAATTCCTGGCGAACGCGTTCTAAACTACGTATCAAAAATACGCCTCAAAGCAGACAAAACTTTTTTATATTTTTATAAAACGCAAGTTGAAACGCTTTTAAAAAATTTTTAAAAACTTAAATTTTTCTTTGCTAGTCAAAACAAAATCGTTGTTTAAATAATTAACATGGGTTTGTGTTTATCAATGTTAATATTTTTTGTTTACTCTAGAAATTTTTAAAAATAAAAAAAATCATTATTATTTTTTATTCAATAACGATTAAAAACAATTATTCAAAAACAAATTTCAGAAATAATTAATATATATATATATTTTTTTTACTAAATAATATTGAACTAAAATTATTAATAAAATAACAATTGAAAACATTACAAAATTTTCATAATAAATTTATATTTAAAACGTTTATAGTTTATATTTGAGTTAGTTGTTAAATTGAATTAGTTTGCGGTTATTTATTTATTGCGGTAGTTAAAACACTTAACGTCTATAAAAAAAAATAAAGATAATTTTATGACATCAAAATTGCGTTAAGCTAATGCATTAAGCACTTTTTTATTTAAAACAAGGCCTGCAATCATGGTATTATTCCTTCCGTCTGTAAGAGCCAATCAGTATTATTACATCCATTTAAATAATAATTAAAAAATTCACACTTTATTTTTCTGATAAAACTATAGTTAGGTATCACATTATGTTCACAAACACAACTGTAGAACATGAAGTTTAGAAAAACAAACTTGAATAAGTACAAGAAAAGCATTAAAAAGATCAACAATCGATGCACCTCTGACTAATGATTATCAGAAATTTTTAATGCAAAATTAAAAAAGTTACAGTTCAATTGAATGAAGTTTATTCTTTGTTTTATTTTTTAAGAAACATTGAATGCTAAATTTATATTACTGATAATGGTAATTGTAAACAATTTGGTTTTTATTTTATGTAAAAGTTTTGAACATATATTTTTTCTTAGTATTGCTTAATAAAAATTGCTTATATACAATGATGTCACAATAGGGTAGACAGAGTAGACAAAATCCAGTGTGTCACCAAGTCTATAATACAATTAAGGGCCACCAGGTTTATTTTAGGGTAGCAGAAATTTCAGAAAATTCCTTAAAAGGATGAGTTTTGTCTCCACCAGTGTATAATACAATTAAGGGCCACCAAGTGTGTCATGGCACCACTGCTTAAATACCTTCTTTTTTTTTACATCAAATCCAGAACTAATGAAACCTTTTAGAGCAAATCAACATCATTATTGATAATGATGATGTAAATCAAATATATCATTAAAAAATACAGTACTTAAGTAAATTTAGTTTATTGTAAATAAGAAACCAAAAATGCTTGGATTTAATATATGTTTTTTCATTATAAAAGTTTTATTTATTTGTTACAAAAATCTATATTTATGATAAATTAATTACTATCTAATGAACTCGCTTCCAAAAAACTTGACTATTGTTTTTATATAAACATTTTATAGACGTTTACTCTACCTGTCACTATATTATGTCATGAATTAAATAGATTAAATAATGAACTAATAAACTGCTTTTGACATTATATACTAACTAGATAAATTACTAATTCTAGCTCTATAGCCATCAATCATTTTCTTGTATTAAACACAAAAATGCTGTATCATTATTAATATGTGGATGCCAGTAGATTTTTTGCAGTAGCAGATGTCAGCAGTTTCATTGCTGCTGCAGATCTATATATCGCACATAATCCAGGTTAGCATTTGACAAAGCCAGCGTAAAAATGGATCTATTTTTGCTTTACTAGAGCATAGAACTGCCAAGTTGAACCTCTAAAACTGTCAGCATGCAAAAGTTAATTTTTGTAAAAAACACACATTTTTTGTCGAAATTGACAGTGTTAAAGTTCAAACATCACCTTACGTGAGGTGGCTAAACACATTATAATTAAAATGGTAATGATGCGCATTAAACACATTATATAGTCAATTCATAAATTTGCTATATATTTTCATAAAGTTTAATTGCTACATTTATTAAATATTTGTCGTCTAAAGCAATATTCTTATAAAGTAATGTTTTTATAAAAACATTACTTTATAAGACTAACATTAACTCTTTTGTAACAGGAGACAAAAAAATAAAAATTTTTGCCGACATCATATAAAGTAATATTACATACATAGTATATATATATATATATATATATATATATATATATATATATATATATATATATATATATATATATATATATATATATATATATATATTAACATATAGTAAAGATTATGTAATATAAAATTACATACATTTATATCATTTATATTTATGTTATTTTTTATAATTATGATATTTATTATTTCAATTATAAAAATCAACAATTAAAGATATATTAAACAATAATTTTTCATTATTTCAATAAAAATTATAGCAATATTTATAAAATTATATGCTAACTATAATATAAAAATACCTGACAATCAGGCAGTTGAGATGTTTTACAATCTTTTTTCAAAAACTTTGCATTTTTCAATTCATTGACTATTTGTTGCGTATACTGTAATTCTTTTGTCAACAAATTTACTTGATCAAACGTCAGTTTATCATCCTTTTGTAAAGGATCAGAAAAGCGAAAAGTTGTTTGAAATTTTAGTACATTTTTATCTTGATTGTCATTCTTTATTATCACTGCTATAAAAAAAATTAAAGCATAAAAAGGAAACAGCTACAATATAAATCATCAAAATCCTTTAATTTTTTTTATAACATAAAAACTAGTAGTACTTAGTAATGCAATCGGGATTGATATTTAACTGGGGCCAGGGCTGAGTTTGATAAAAGATAGAAAGCCAGGATCAAGTCAGGCTTGTGACCATTTTTTATCATCATCTTTTTCATCATCATCACCATCATCATGATGGTGATGGTGATGACGGTCATTATATTATATATAATGATAATGATGATGATCACCATCATCATCATCATCATTATAATTATCATCATCATTGTTTTAGCCTCCTTTTTTATGCTATTTCTCTAATATAAACATTTCAAGCAACTGCTTTCCTTATTGTAAGCTTGCTTGTACCATATGTAACGCTCTTTCTTATTTCTAAAGTTATCCCAAGTTCTAATTTGGTGTTCAAACTATATCGATTACACCAGTTAAACTATACTTCTGTGGGTTGTACAGCTTTTTTCTGTTTATTGTGATTTAAAATGCAAATAATAATATAAACTTATCTTATAAAGTAGCAAGAATGATATTGAAGTGATATAGCAAAATAGTTCAAAGTTTCCTTGATCATAACAATAAAACTTTCCTTACTTAATCATACTTTTTTTTTTTTAATTTTAATTTTTAATTTTAATTTTATTTTTATTTTTAATTTTAATTATAATTTAATTTAAAAACCATGCCTTCTTTCTCAATAATTTTTCAATTTTCAAAACCTTTTTTTTTATATTCTCAAAATTGGATTTGTCACCCCTAAAAATAGCCATGTACAAATTTTTAAGTAAAAAGATCAAACATTTAGCCAATATCTACTTAAAATAAAATGATCATATTTCAGGATCTTTTTGGAGCTAGAGGCTAAAATTTTCTTTTTCTTGGTCATTTGACATGGAATTACCCATACATTGACTTGAAAAAGCAACTGTATACATATTGTTAAATGGAAACTATTATTTACTTAAATATTTTTAACCAATTACTACGTATTGGAACTTGACACCACACAAATTATTGCTAAAATATGTTGGACACTGTCAAAAATAGTCTAGAATAGCTACTGCATTTTTCTTTTAAAGAATGATATTTATATCAAAAAGCAAGCTTATAAAATAGGATAGAACAATAATATATTAAGAATTTTCACTGTGATTCAACTTGATTACTAAAAAAATTCATTCAATTCACTGTACAAAATAAAACAAAAATTAAGTACAGAAATAAAGCCTTAATTAAAGACATTGTGCTTATATACTATAAAACTTGTATGATTTGGCTTTAAACATGTCAAAAACTTTGTAATTTTTTTTTTGTAGATCTTTTGCATTTTAAAACAAACAAACAAAAAACTCCTTCTAATTTATTGATTGTTTACAAAATGTAAACAATCAATAAATTAGAAGTGTTTTATATTAAACCAATTTAAATGGTTTGTTTACAGTGCATTAGAACAAAAATGTTTGCAGTGAAATGGAATTGGTTAAAATAAAACTTGTGAACAATTCATACAAAAATAATTTTAAAAAATTTATTATACAATATCAAACATAACTAAATATGGTGAAGCAGTGAATAATATTTAGAATTTAAAATTTGCCTAAATTGAATAAACCTGCAAAAAGAAATTAATACTTAAAAAAAAAGAAAATAGAAACTGTTTATTTATAACAGTAATAAAATAATTCAAAGTAATAAGTGAACTTCAAGGTACATTGCCATACAAAATAAATAATTTAAAACAAAAAATTATTCAAAAAATCATTTGATCTATATAAAATATCTGTCATAAAATTGAGAAAAATTCAATTTGATTAAATCGTCAGTTATCAATTATATTATTAAATAAATTAAGCCATATATCAACCATACCAACTATATTAGACTCTTAAGTATTTAAGACCAGCAATTATATAAAGCCATCAATTAAACAATAACAAAATTTAAAAACAAAAATGTTTAGGAATATTTTTATAATATAAGTTTTTGCATTGGAGGATTTTTCATAAATGATTTTAATTTTAAAGAAGTATTTCTGAATTTTTTTTTGAATATTTTTTTTATTGTTATGAATAATCTCATAATAATCTCAGCGGGCATTAGTTTTTAGAAGTTACGTTCTAAATGTATTTTAAATGTCTTTTAAACGTGTTCTAAACATTCTTATGTAAAGAACGTTTGAAAGACATTTAAAAAACATTTAAAAGACATTTAAAACGTAACTTTTAAAAACAAATGCCCCAAGGGATATGCTTAAAATGTGATTTACACTTTTCTAGTTCTACAAAAGTAGAGAATTAAAAGCTATAAGCAAAAAGTATTCTTACCATTACTCTCTTCTGTGTGCTTGTTATTTTTTTTCACTAGATTGTCAAGAACTAAACTCCATAAAATTAACAATACAGAACAAGACACAGAAAGTATAACCAACTTATTGATGAGTTTACTAAAACGACATCTTCTAACCATGATCAATCATTCTCATTAAAGAAAGCTTTTTTAAATATTTTCCTAGGCGTTTTTTGATAACATATATACTTAGCATAAATAAATCAACAAACTTTTTAGAAATCAATATCCATACAAAATTGTTGAACAACAAAAGCAAAAAATAAATAATTTTATGCTATATTTGTTTTAATAATCCACCTTAAGCAAAAACAAAAACAAAAAAATTATAAATATAAAAACTACAATGTTATATATAATCTAACCAATATTCTTTTTATAAAAATAAATATGATTCACAAGTTAAAATTTAAAATCAAGTGTGTCTTCAAATTCAAAATAAAGTGTGTCTATCTAGCATACATTTATATGAATGAAAATACATTTATATGAATAAAAAAAAAAGAATGAGTTAATAATATATACTTTAATTACTAAGAATTTTATCACAAAAAAATACAGTTAACTACTATATTATTGATAATCCCAAATTAAACAATTAACTTGACACTGAATCAATATCAGATAATAAGTGTTCTTAGACTTTTTATAAACATTTTAACAACAATAATAAAATTTTACAAAGACCATTTTAACTTTAAAACAATAAATTAGGTTTTCTCATATAGTTGCAAATTAGTCAAGAGCCTAAAACAAAATACCACATTAAAAAAAAGCAGAAAAGTAATAACAGTAATGAATAAAAGATAAAAATAAATATTTGCAATATAAAAAAAATAATAATATAGCAATAACAATAATTATAAAAAATATATGTATGTATACATATATTTTTTAAGTCAAAATACAAACATGTAAAAATTGATTTAGTATATTTGCAAAAAATACTCAGTTTTGATAAATTAGTCTAATAGTTTAATTTAGTCTAATAAAACAGTACAAAATTAGTAAATTAGTTAATAATTTAAAACATGTTTTCTTTTTAGAGCATTTTTAAAAATACACAAAAACATTTACATATATATAACTGGTTAAATGAAAAAACATTTTTTTAAACAACATATCTTTACAATAAAACATCATTCTCCAACAAGTGGGTTTGGAGGCAAGCCTTTCTGTCGTCTTTCTTTTTGAATTTTGTTCAGCACCTTTTTGCATCTTCTATAGTTTTCAAAATAAGCTTCACATGCATCCCGATTGTAATTATTCTGTGACAAGCATTTATATGATGCATCAGATTCATTTTTGCAATAATGATTGACATCATTGAGACGAGACATAACTAAAGTATATATATATATATAGATATATATATATATATATATATATATATATATATATATTTATATTTATATATATATATATATATATATATATATATATATATATATATATATATATATATATATATATATATATATATATATATACATATATATATATATATATATATATATATACTATATATATATATACTATATATAATATATATATATATACATATATATATATATACATATATATATATTATATTATTATATATATAATATATATATTATATATTTTATATATATATATATATATATATATATATATATATATATACATGTATATATATATATATATGTATATATATATATATATATATATATATATATATATATATATAATATATATATATATATACTATATATATATATACTATATATAATATATATATATATACATATATATATATATATACATATATATATATTATATTATTATATATATAATATATATATATATATATTATATATTTTTATATATATATATATATATATATATATATACATGTATATATATATATATATATATATGTATATATATATATATATATATATATATATATATATATATATATATATATATATATATATATATATATCATTGGTTGGTTGTTTTTATTTTTTCCCATAAAATAGAAACATGTTGTTTTTTTAAAAAAAATTAATACAAAAGACTGGATAAAGTTTAAAAACTTAAAGCAATATATATTTTTAAATCAACAGGTTGCCTCCCTAAACTACAGCCCTCAGTAGATATAGCAGCACTCCTTGCATGTTTTACTTATATAAGGTAGTCAATGTATGTGTACTCCCTGCATGTTCTACCTATTTCATTGAATGTCTTAGGCAGAACATGAAATGTTTTACCTAAGTTATTCATTGTATGTACACTCCGCTGCACTAATCACTAAATAAATCAGTCAATAAAAAAAAGAAAAAGAAAAAAACTTAATCAAAAATAATAAATAAAAATAGTAGAAAAATAAAAACATAAACATTCTGAATGCTTTTATTTTTATTTAAAAAACAAACAAAATTCTAGTCTATTGAGTTAAATTTTTGTTTTTTTTAATGATAAAATTTAATTAGTTTCCTCATTATTTCAATGGTTTTTACAGTAGTGCAAAAAGTGTTAGAACCATCTTCATATTTAACAAGTTTTTAGTTTAAATGTGTGTTAAGCTTTAATAAATAGATACAAGATTTACTAAACTGGAAAAAATCTTATACAACATAAGATTTTAACAAGTTTATCTTTAAAATTTTATGGGATGCATGATTTTATCATTCGGTTTGGTGGCTATTATGACATATAACCACTATGGAAAAGTGTGTGCATACCAAGCACATTTTTTGTATATTGAATAGTATATTTTCACATATTCAATCTAGATTTTCAAGAAATTAAGTTATAAACTCAAATTTGTGGCAACATTTATAAGTAATTTAGGATTCTCTATCATAGAAGTCAATGACAGCCTTTTATATATAAATATATGTGTGTATATATATATATATTGGGTTGTAACATAAGTTCGTAGAGTTTTGCGTTAGAGTTATTTTATAATCTTTAAAGATTTATTTGAACAAAAAACAATAATTATAAGAATAAATTAATCAATGATATATTCTCCGTTACTATTTACAACCTCCTCCCATCTCTCTACCAATTTGTTGATGCCGTTTCGCCAAAAATCGGTCGGTCTGGTGTCAAAGAAGTTGTTGAGCCAGTTTTTAAGATCCTCTTCGCTATCAAAGGTAACACCCCTCATTTGGTTTGATAGAGAGTGTAAAAGGTGATAGTCGGTAGGTGCGAGATCCGGAGAATACAGTGGATGCTGAAGTACCTCCCATTCAAGCTCTTGGAGTGCTGTTTTGACGACTTAGGCAATATGGAGCCTGACATTGTCGTAGAGCAAGATGACTTGACCTTGTCTATCGGGTTTTTTCAGCCAAATAGCCTCATTTACACGGTTCAGCTGGGCAATGTAGATCTCCTTGTTGACAGTGGCGTTTCGTTCGAGCATTTTCCAGTGCACCATGCCTTTCCAGTCCCACCAAACACAGATCATGGCCTTTTTTGGGTGAAAATCTTGCTTGACTCTCGGCTTCGGCGTCTCTCCTGGGGCCACCCACTTGTTTCTTTGCTTCACATTGACGTACAGACACCATTTCTTATCTCCCTTGATGATTTGATACAAAAAGCGCTGTTTGTGTCCATGTGTTGCTGGGTGGCGGGCGAGATGTTGAGCAGCAATTTGAAGTCGTTTTTCTTTGTTTTCTTTGTTGAGCTCATGAGGTACCCATGCTCCGAGTTTTTGAGTAAAACCAATTGATTGAGGGTGGCGAGAGATTGTCATTGCACTAATGTTCATTTTTTCAGCCAATTCACAAGTTGTTTGGCGACCATCTTCCTTCAATAGTGCCTTCAGATGCTCTTCGTTGAATTCTGCAGGTCGTCCGCTTCGAGGCATGTCTTCAAGGTCAAAGTTGCCATTTTTAAACTTTGTGAACCATTTTTGTGCAGTAGACACACCTAAGACACCTTCCCCGTACACACTGCATATGTCCCGAGCGGCTTTGGCTGCTATTTGACCTCGATGAAAAGAAAAGAAAAGCAGATGTCAAAAATGCTGATTTTTTCCTCCTGGGTATTCCATTTCTGAGCCAGAAAAAAGACAAACAATTAAATTATCCAAAAAAACAAACAAAACTGTTTTGTAGACGAGAAAGAGCTCTTTCGAATGAATGTATACACTTTGCTAAAAAACAAAACAAATCGTTGTAAAATAACTCTGTAAATGTAAAATAACTCTGTAAAATAACGCAAAACTCTATGAACTTATGTTACAACCCAATATATATATATATATATATATATATATATATATATACATATATATATATATATATATATATATATATGTATACATATATATATCAGGCCTTGTTACGAGATTTCGCTGCGTAAAGGAAAAGCGAAACGTGAATAAATGTAACTTTACTCAATAAAGATATTTAAATTGTTAAAAAATAAATTACGTCAGTTACGTTTTTACTTCATTGCAATTAAATTTAAAATGACATTAAAAACTGTTAGTTTTTGAAACGAAATAGCTTTAAATTGAACAATATTGTTATAAAAAAATAACTAAAGTTTTAATGTTGATTAAAAAAAAGTCTTCTTGTATTAAAATCTTATACTTATTTAAACTTAATTTTTTTGTTTTCAAACGTTTTATGGTTGTTTTTTTTGAAATATTTTTTTTTATAATAATTTAAATTTAACACTTGTTTATGGTTGATTTTCTTAAACGCATTTAAATGTACTTACAACTAAACGCATAGATTGGGTTTTCCCCTTTTTAAAAAAACATTTGCATTAACTGGTTTTGATAAAATAAATATTGTAAAGAAACGAAATTTACTACTTTTCGAGTTTGTTTGTTTTTTATTTCCATTAAAATATTTTATTTTTATGTACAGTGAAACCTAATGTATTTTTACTATTTTTTTACTCAATCCAAAAAAAATTATATAGTATTTTCGGTTTTAAGATGTTAAAAGCAGAACTTGTTTTTAACAAATATCATTATAATTTTGAAATTTATGTATCTTATATTTATAGCTCTAGTACTAGTTTTGTTTTTAAAATAAAATAAATATAGGTTGGGCTTTTAAAGAGTTTATTTACTGATCGCGTTAATTTTAATAGATTTGAATTTTAGTTTGTTTTATAAAAAAAATTCTTTGGCAAACGGCTAAGGGAAAACCCAAACATAACATTTATAACTCGAGTTTAAAAGAACTTTTTTGTATAGAC